TATATGTATATGCAACTATTGGGAAAGAAATCTTGATGATTTTGTCTCGAAATTTTAAGAAAATTAGAAAAAAATTTTTGTAAAAAATGTTGAAAAATTATTTTTGAATGTTATTGTCCATTTTGGTATTGATGAATGGCCCAAATAATGCCCCATATATCATGAAGTAAAGAATGGATGGATATATTCCCCACATCACACTGTGACTAATTATATATATACATTACGCTCGCATATGTGTGCCATCACATCGTGAGGGCAACGTGATGTCGTTCTTTCATTCATGACGTGATAATCACGAGTGAAAGTAATGCAAACTCACGGTAAATTTCGTTATTATTTTTTTATAATCGTATACGACAGTACACAATGACCTTTATGCTCGCATATATGCCCCCATCACACGTGATTGTACAGGGATATCTTTTACACTCGCATCTGTGGTTCCGTCATGTTGTGAGTGCAATGTAATTGGCGTTCTTGCACGCACGACGTGATAAGCACGCGTGCATACAAAATGAACCCTCACGTATTGTTATCTGGGATCCTATGTATGTGATATAATTACCACATGTATGTACATAGGATGTCCATAGTACATACATAGGTATATTCCAAAGATATGCAGTGTACATTTGTGGTATATACATAAGGTATATTCCGAGGATGTGCAGTGCACGTTCGCAGTATGTACATAGGGTATATTCCGAGGATGTGCAATACATATTCGTGGCATGTACATGAGGTACATTCTATGTATGTACATAGTATATACAGTACGTTTTTTAATAATAAACAATTTTCATTCATTTGGATATTTATCTACCCAATTTTTGAACAATTTTGAACAATTAGTTTATCTAAATTTCCTGTGTTGGGATTCATATATTAAACTGATAGAAAAAGTTATTACATCTTCAAATTGAAGACTTCAATATTATTATACCCGCCTTTTGCAAGTTTTATATAGTTTTCATGATTAAAACTTAAATACAAGATAAATAGCGCATAATGCTGTTGCGCCTACTATGGTGGCGGTAGGCGCTGCGTATAGATTCGGGATTCGCCGTGCTGGTCAAGGGGGCTTTGGCTCGGAGAGTTTAGAATAATTAAGCACTTCTGATTATATATATATAATAGCTTTTATTTGGTATCTTCTTATTACACTTGTCACCTCACTTATTCGGCGACCGTACTACCGTGGTTACGCGTGTACGCGACGTGTCGTGCTTCGTCCGGAACTTTGCTGATAAAAACCCGCGGCGCCTTGTGTGCCGCCTTAATTTATACGGATCAGTATTCGGAACACAATGAGACTTGAACTATATCGATCCATTGTGTTACCAAAATGCTGATCTGTTTAACCTACTTTAGACGCAAGTGACACTCGGGCTTCTAAGAACGAGTGCTCGCGTCAGCGCCTAATTGTTTAATAATTAAATAACTTTTGTCACAGGATTCTCGAGAAGTGGCCTCGATTAATGGCCTTCTAAATGTTTATTATTGTTATTGCCTAATTAACCTATAATTATTACGTTGTGGTCTTTCGACACACAACAGGTGTCACGTAGTGGCAAGGGAATGAACTAATGACTGATTCTATGTATATCCATGCGATATCCTATGTATATCCATAAATGTACATACATGAGCGTATATCGTATGTATGTACGTTACATGTATTATATACACATGGAATGTACACGAGATATATTCTATGTATGTACAGGCGATCTCGTTCAAATATACATTCTATGTATATCCATAAATGTACCTACATCAGCGTATATTGTATATATTAGGGGTACAAATAAGTTTTAAACCGT